CACCTGGGAGCATTTAGAGCCATTCCTCAGAGGGACTGGGAAATGTCTGTTCCTCTTCCATCTCCCCTCTTCTCTTCTCTCCTGTGCAGGGCTGCTCTGCTGGGCTTGTTCCCCAGAGGACGAGGAGCCTTTCTGAAGGTTGCTTCTCCCAAGAAGAAGCAGAGCAGGGCTAGGAAAGGAAAGCAGCTCTATCAGAGGGGGAAGTGCCTCCCGTCAAGGCCAAGTGCTGCCCGTGCTGGGCTGTGGGGACAGGGCTCCCAGCAGCTCCCGTTCCCACAGGGACCATGGCGCTGCCCCTGAGATCTGGGCGGATCCAATGAAAAGGAGCAGGCGTGTCGTGATGGGAAAGCCATTGCCCGTTCTGTCTGAACGCCCTTCCGCCAGCATGGGCAGCTGCACAGCCAGGAAAGTGGGTGGGCGGGCGTCCATGAGCCCGCTGGGCTCCCCGTGGCATTCCCGCCTTTGCCAGCAATGGGCTCCACCAGGCCCAGTTCTCTTCCGCTTGATGTACAACCCCTGGGGTGAATTCCTGGCCCCACCGGATCAACGGCAGGACTTGCGCGGGGCCAGGATTGCTCGCCTGGAGAAGGAGCAGTGCAGAAGCAGGTACCAAAGGACAGCGAGGCCAGGGCGCCTTTTCCCCGGGAGGAGCACGGCCCAGGGCTTTGGATGTTAGCCTGGTGCCTGTGACCCAGTTCAAATCCCTGCTCTGATCCCAGGAAGGGAAACAGACTGTGTTACTTATCTAGAGCCACTGACCGTGGGCAAGTCACTTACCTGCTCTGTGCCTCGGTTTCCCCTCTGTATGGTGGGGTAACAGCTCTGCCCTGCTGCAGTGGGGTGTGCAAGGAAACACACATGGAGGATTGTGGGACAGTCAGATACTGCGCTCTATGTACTTGGATAGCTAGACTTGGCTAGTAACTGATGGGCTCCTATAGCCATGACTCTCCCATCTTTACCATTGGCTCCCACGGGCTAGTCCCCCAAGGGTTCGCTGTAATAATGTCAGACCAGCTCCCTTCATGTGCTCTGCCAGGTGTGGGAGGGAGGAATGGCTAGCACGAATGGAACGTCCTTCCCCTGTCACTCCGGCCTACAGCAGAAGCAGCGTTACCCTGCATGGCACGCAAAGGGAAAGCGCCACTTGTCAGGATTTCAGTCAGTCGATATTTCACTGAACTTTGTTTTCCCCATTTAGTACAATTAAAATCCCAAGGAGAAGTCTTGTATAAATCAAAGTTCTTTTAAAGTGTGCCGCACAGACACACACATTGGTGCCTCTGCACAGCGTGTGCCCATAACAAATATGCAAACCCCTTTGGCAACACAAGCAGAAATAAGCAATTTGGGATCTTAAAAGATAAAAGATAATAAAAGTAATTAAGATAATTAACCACCCTGAAGAGAGAAGAATTTACTGCTGTAAATTTTGTACTTAGTTTTAGATGGCAATATTGCAGCTGCCACTCCACTTAATAGACACCACATCACGGCACGCTGTCTCTGCCAGTGTCATTAACAAAGGAGAGGGGACTCATTTCATTAGGGTTCACAACAATCATTCATCAATCAGTCAAGTTTTGGAAAAGTCTCGCCCCGTACCTCAGCCCCCTCGCCTCCAACCCAGAAATCAACACTCTGCCTGTCCTGATGACAGGAGGCTAGAACGTCTCCTCCCAAGCGCCCAACGTTTCTCAAGCCAGGGGAATTCATCCCTCCTGCTCTGGCTTGCAGGGCTGGGCGCAGAGTGCTCAGACGGGAGTTTTGGAAACCCTGCAGCATGGCCCTGAGCTCGGGAGCAGCTCACCAGGGGCTGAATGGAAAGGCAGGGAGCTGTGCAATGCTCCACACGAGGGCTCACAATTTGTGTTTGTCCGTAGGCGTCGTTATACTGGGCTTGCCACCATGGTGTCTGAGCGCCTGGGGGCACTGAGGTCAGAGATGGGAAAGCAGAGAAGGGCTTGCTGTGGGTCTGACCCTGAGGAGCAGAGACATGATCCCAGGGCTATAGAATGGGGGCCTGTTCTCCCATCTCCAGTCCCTTCTATCTCATTCCTTACAACCGTTTGTCATGTTCCAGGGAAACACTCAGGGACGTTTTCTTCCTAAGTCCCATGGAAGTGCTGCCACTGCTCACTCGGAGCAGGGCTCTCCTGCCTTCGCTAAGCGCCTGGCCTCCCCTGGAACAAAACAGGCCGGTTTGCTGAAGCGTCTGGACTGGCTCTGGCTGCTTGAGTTGAGGTGGAAGGCTGGCCCCTCTACAGAACTGTCAGTCCCTTGGTGCTAGCGTTGCGTGGCTGTACCCAGGAGTGAGTTGGGGTTTTGGTGGGGCAGTTTGCAGGGGGAGAGGAAGGAGATTTCAGCAGCAGCGTTTTGCAAAACTAAAACGCTTCACAGAATTTGAAAGTCGGACCGACCAAAATGCAGGCAGTGGTGAATCTGCAACCCCCGGAGATTTAGTGCAGCTTCCAGCTCTGCAGTTACTGAATAGTGACGTGGCAAGGCTTCCTCGGGGCCATCTGCATTCCCCAGGACTGGCAAAAGGCTGCTGATGCTGTGCAGTGCCATCCAAGGCTTTCGCCCAGTGCAGCCTCCCGCAGAGCTGGCCGAGACGCACGGGAAGATCTTGCATAGAAAGGGTCATTGCAGTGACACTGCAACATTCCCATTCATGCTGGCGCACAAAGCACCAGGGTCACCTTTACTGTTGCTTGGTCACTCAATCACTTTACATTAACATGCACGTTTCTTTTAACTAAACAGATCATTCTGGTGTTTCCATTCTCCCCCCTCACTTCGAACCTGCAGATTTGGGGTGTTTCCATTAGCCCATGAATGCTGCGCTTTCTCGGAGGAGCTGAAGTGAAATAACACTGGCTGGTTTGATGGATGGAGCGGAGCCACTATAAATCTCTGCTGAGAATCCACAAACCCACAGTGTGCAAGTGCTGTGATCCTCGGCACAGCACAAGCTTGGACTCAGTCAGGCCCTTGACATCTTTGAGATGTTCACGCACTTTCCTTTCAGTACAAACAAACCCATCCCGAGGGGTGGCCCGGCCTGGGAAGTCAGTTGGTGTTCTGCCCATATGGGCAGCAGTGTTGTGCAATATCTCTGGATTTACGGCTTCCCCACAAGCTGTTTCACAAATAATCTCACTTTCCAAAGAAGTGCCGGGCGTCGCCTTATTTACCGGAGCGCATAATGACCATGCAGCTGTTCTGTGATGATGGAAAGTGACATGTAACGTGTATTAAATATAGGCACACTCTTGAAAATTATTTGGGGCATACGCTTCAGATGGCCAAGTAACTGTGAGCATATGAACTCAATGGCTTTTAATCTTCTGTTACCAGTCCAGTTTAGAAATTGTTTCTACCCATCCAGGAGCCTCATGAACACCTGCCTTGTGCCCCGCAGGGAGCAGCTCAATGCTGGAAGTAGCCGGAAGGACATGGGGGACATGAGAATGTTTTACAGCACTATGTTCATAACACACGGTCATAGAACTGAGTTCTTAGTAGCATTTGCAGTAAATTAACCCCTACTGCCAGCATATGTGCAGAGGGTTACTGCTTCTTCATTGAGCCTATCACCAGCTAAGGAGCCTCCCCGATCAGTACCTTATCTTCCACCACCCATTCCCCTGAACCATCCTCTACTGTCCACTACTGCTGTGATGCTTCTTCCTCCAGCCAGAGTACAACCCACATGCTGTTGTGTTACATCACAGGGCTCCCTAACGTTGGAGAGACACAAACCCCAGGTTTTCCCCTCCTCAGGCTGCCCAGTAACTCAAAGTGTAAAGGGGTTGGATTGCACATACGCCCATCACAAGTGTGCCTGCACTTGCACATACCTCTTAGCTCCTTCTTTTCATGCCTTCTTTGCTGTCAACAGCACCTAGTCCTTTCCGTGCCACCTGGGCCCCTTTGCATGGTGGTGTTTGCATTGCAGATGTGTGACACCCACAGAATGCCTGCTAACCACATCTGGCCGTTGGGATCCTCTCTTACCCACCGCGCTAAACATTGTTTCCGGAATAACCACATCCTGAGAGCACTTGATCACCCTGAGCTACTGCCGAGAGAGCGCAGCTTGGTTTGAAAGCAGAAGGGGAATGTGCAGGAGGGATAAAGGCTCACCCTCCCTAACATGTCACCAGCCCCCGCAGAGTCCCTGCCTGGCTCTGGGAGACAGAGAGGGACATAAAGCCCATAATCGGGGAAAGCTGGGGAAGGAGGCCCAGGGCTGATTCTGGGGTGACGGAGGCAGGGCTGGAATCAAGAAGGCCGGCAATCAGGTTGATTTCTAGAGCTGAGGGAATGCTTTGCAAGGAACGTTAGTTTGACCTGCTTTACCTACTTTCCTGCTTGTGAAGTTTTCGGTGTTGTATTTCATTAGTCAAAATTCCTCATGAATTTCTTTAACCAGTTGCTCTTGGTTTGCCAATTGTTTGGGCTGGGGGTTATAGACGTTACAACTGGAAATACAACTTGCAATTCATGCTGTCATTTGAGTTGCAAAAGCAAGTCATCTCCTGTATGTATGGAAGAATCACACAAGTCACAGCATGGATTGGAAATTGCTACATAAACGCGAGGTGGTATTGTGATTATCCTGGTTCCCAAAGCATGGTCCCCTGATTGCCAGTGGGCCCCAGCGTGCTGGCTGGTCAAATGGTGCTGAGTCCCAAAACTGAAAGTGTTGGGCCAAAAACTGCTGGAAGTTTTCAGTTTTCTGGCTTTTGTTTTTCTGATAAAATAAAATAAAATAAAATTTAATAAAGAGTCTCAAAACCCCAGTCTGTCCGCCATCGAAGACCCAAAGTCAGTTTTAACAGAACCTTTCACCCATCCGTACATTTCACCCACTTCACTGAGCCCTTAGTTATTATTTGTATCACCATTGCCCCTATGAACCCAGTCATAAACCAGGAGCCCATTGTGCCAGGCGCTGTACAAACACAGAACAAAAATACAGACTGGGCCCCAAAGAGCTTACGATCTCAGTTTAAGACAAGAGACGCCAGATGGTGACAGACAGGTGGAGTACAAAGAAGCAACGAGACAATATTGGTCAGCATGACAGGCAGTGGTCTCAGCACACCAACATCCTAGCTGTGGTCAGGTGTCTGTAGGGATCGCACCAGAAGAGAGTTCTAAGGAGGAATTTGAAGGAGAAGAAGGAGGCAGCTTCTCCCAAGTGTGAGGGGCAGCGTGGGAGAAAGCTTGCGAGGAAGAGGCTGCTTTGAAAATGTCACAAGTGGGTGATGGAGGTGGCATCATTGGCTGATCAGAGGTAGGAGCTGATAGGGAGGGTGGGGACAGGCCAGGCGTGGCCGTGAAAGTGAAGAGAAGCAGCTGATGTTTGACGCGATAGAGAAGGAGAAGCCAGGGGAATGGACATGGTCAAAGTGATGGGAACAGCATTCTGAATAGGTCTGAGACAGGCAAGGCTAAAGCATGCACATGTGGTGAGGGGAAAAGCCAGAGGAGAGGAAAATCAGTCTGCAATTACTGTTCACAATTACACACCCCAAAAATTCACAGACTAAAGCTTTCGCTTCCTCAGAGGTCAGCTGGAAGGGGCGGGAACCCAAGCACTGTGCAGCATTGTGATTAGTTCGTCTATAGGAAGCTGGCAGAGTTTATAAGAAAGTGCGGAGTTAATCGCGGGCTAGGTGGGAAGTGGAGACTGGTGGGACCTCAAGCCGCGTATCTGGAAAGGGGAAGGGTTCTGAGTTGCTGGCCATGGCGTGGTCTGTTAAAATGATCCAGATTATTCCACATTCTGAAGCCAGTATTTATCTCAACTGTTTTCCTAATCTTTATACAAAGTGAAGTCAGCAAACGCTGCGTGATTCACTTTTGTTCCAATGCCAACGTAAAGAAAAACTGTTTTGAACAGAAGTGGAGACTCTAGGGCCTGGCCAGAAAATGAGAAACCATCAGGGAAGGAAGGGGGAGGGCTGCAAGTCCCATAAACAAGAGCTGTACCAAAGGGAATGTCCTGGGACGGCCAGATCAGCCTGACAGGCTTTCCTGTTCTCTGAATCCAATTCACATTCTGTTCCTGGTGAAGGCTCGGCTCTGCTGTAACTGCCGTTCTCCCAGACATGCGTCAGCAAGGGCAGAGCTTTGTCATCACTTGCTCCCATCCCTGTTGGAACGTATAGATGCTCTTTCTTCGCATGATCTGGGCATGAGGGTGGGGCTGAGAGGGAGTTCTCAGGACGGTGGTGATGCCATATGCTGCAGGGATATAAGAGACATTGACACATGCAAATAGAGACTGACAAACCACATGATGGCTCAGCCAGGCCTGGGAGCGGCTCATTGCAAACACTTGAAACATGTTTATTTGTTATAGGAAACCAAAGTCCCAGGCCTCCTCCTCCAGCTCTGCAATCAATTAACGCAATTTATTGTATTGTAAATGTTGAAAATGTACAAGGTTCCATATGTTGTAGGCACAGCCGGGCCTTTAATCTGAGCCGGAAATGAGCACAATCTGAAAGCAGGTCCCAGGCAGATCTGGAACCCACCCGTTTGGACTGAGTGCTGGAATTGCTGAGCTGAGAAAGAGTCTAGTTTAGGCTGCAGCAGGACATGCAAGAGGAGGCAGTGGGGCCTTGTGAAGGGTGGTGGGTAAGAGACCCTAGCTCAGACCTTTGAATACCTGCTTTAAGCAGGAACAGCTGGGGCAGAGATTCCTTTGGAAACGGGTCGTGTTACTGAGATTCTAAACTTAAAGGCCTAAGTATAAAATCCTGTTGGCAGAGAATAGGCATGATTATGTAATAGGTCTTTTCTGTCTCGCATTTCTGTGATTCTCCGTGATGCCTGCGAGTTGCAAACAACAAGCTGCATTTCCATTCACAAGGAGTCATGAAATATCGATTTGGTCTTTTTTACTATAAATACAACTGCAAGACAATTGGCCTTCACGGCGCCCCCTGTGGCCTGACCTGGTGCTGCTCACCCTGCCTCGGGGTCTCTGGTGGCTGGATGCTTCCTTTCTCGAGGTGTGATGCTGTGGCACCTTTACCCTCTTGCTAAGATACTCACTGGTCCCACTCTTTCCAGGGCATCAAAGTCCCAAGTAAAGGAACTCCAAAGAGGGTTGTCCAGTGAGTCCTTAGCAGGATCCCACCCTTCTGAGCAAACAACGGGCACCCGGCTGGGCTTCGGGGGCCTGGCCCCCTGTTCCCAGGGCGGCTTTCCTAACTGGCAGGCACGCTCAGTTCCTGAGGGAAAAGGGAAGGTCGGCTCTCTTTCCTGGTCAGCCCCAACTGAGCCACGCCCTCTTCTTCTGTTTCCCTCTCCCCTCCTGACACCTGCTGCAGGTATGGTGGGGTGGGGTTGATTGGGCCCACAGGCCTCCATTAGCCACTCCCAGGGCATGTGGGGTTTGTGCACCCCCTCCAGACTGGGTCTAGGACATGTGCCTCCCCCGCCAGCCCCCCTCCCTGCCCCATCTCAGGAGGGAACACCCCCTTTCTGGAGAGTGCTTCCTGCCCTGTGCTGAGCTCAGGATAAGAAGGGCTGCAGGGACAGACACACTGCATGAGCCGGGGGTTGGTCCTTCCTTGCGTGCAATACAAGGAAAATCCCTTTCACATCCAAGCCTCTCTTTACCCTTAACATTTTATTTATGGTATAGCTGTTAGGTTAAACCGACCTGCCTACCAACACAAGGCAGAGGCCAAGATCCTACAGTACCTGTGTATCTGTCTCCCAGCACATGCTCTCCACATGACCACCCCCTTCCTGTGGGCACACACAGACAATGGCCAAACCCAGGGAGGCCTTTTCAGCTGCATTCCTAGGGGCTGCTGAAAAGAACGAAGTGTTGAGCATTTGCCAAAGAAAGGCAGGGGCCAAAGGTTGTTATTTATCCCAGAAAAGTAGCCAACATTCTGTCTATTGATGGGAAGGAACCTAAAGAATTGTGGGAAGGAAGAAAGTTACTTCAGCTGCCAATCACAGGCCCAAATTTCCATGACCTGCCACTCATAATTAAAAGGAATGTGGCAGTTCAGAAAGGTCACCGCAGCAAGGATCTCTCTGAATAAACACCAGGTCCCAATTGAAAACCACTCCAAAGGCCTCAAGTGATACAAACACTAACATCTACATTGATAATTGTGGGTGTTTGCTTAGAGAGGGACTGCCCCTTTTATAAGCCAGTCACAGACCCCGGATCTCACTGGTGTCTTTACATTTCCCCAAGGACAGACCTTGGAGACAAGCTTGTATTCCCAGGGTGAGTCTGTCAGCAGAAAGCACCAGTCGAGGGGAAACAGACGTGACCGGCTCCCAATGCATCCATGTCCCGAGACCTGTGAAGGGAACATTTCTGCTGGAACGGGGCGGGGAGGGGAAGATGAATGTGTGGTGTCCAAGCAGGGAGACAGACAGGGATGATGCAGGGAACACAGTCACTGCAGAAGAGACAGGGAAGAAGTGGGAAAGGTCAGTTTTCCCTTTAGGCACATTCCTAGACACACAGTTTTTAAGGACAGAAGAGACCACTCAATCATTTGGTCTGACCTCCTGTGTAACTCAGACCAGCGAATTTCACCAGTCACTCCTGTACTGAGCCCAGTAACGTGTCTGACTTGTACCCAGCTAGCCTAGAGCTGGCATGAGCCGTGGCTAAGACTTCCCTGTACTCTGGGATGCTCACTGCTATAAGCCAGGGAAGCACCATGCTGCATCATTTAGCCCAGTTTCAACATTACCTTTCTCATTGCTTCATTGCTTTGCCCGGGAGAGGGCTAGAGGACCTAGCGTAGGGGTCGGCAACCTTTCAGAAGTGGTGTGCCGAGTCTTCATTTATTCATTCTAATTTAAAATTTGGTGTGCCAGTCACACATTTTAACGTTTTTAGAAGGTCTCTTTCTATAAGTCTATAATATAGAACTAAACTATTGTTGTATGTAAAGTAAATAAGGTTTGTAAAATGTTTAAGAAGCTTCATTTAAAATTAAATTAAAATGCAGAGCCCCCTGGACCGGTGGCCAGGACCCAGGCAGTGTGAGTGCCACAAAAAATCAGCTTGCGTGCCACCTTTGGCACACGTGCCATAGGTTGCCTACCCCTGGCCTAGCGGATCAGTCTGGGGCCAGTTTTCTGTGTGATTCGCTGTTCACTCCTACTGCATAATGAATGTGCTCTCCCCTAGTGGGAGATGCCCAAGCTGACGGTCCCTAGCTGGTTTGACCACTCAGACTGAGCGAGTGCAGAGATTCGGCACAAGGCCCGTGGGCTGACGTGGGAGGTCAGACGAGATGGTCAGGATGGTCCCGTCTGCCCAGGGGGGATTCCCCCCACAAACGAACAGGTTCTTTAACATATATCGGCTTTTTTCTAACACCACCCATGCGTTCATCCCCTTGAAGAATGCAAAGAAAATCCCTTTCACATCCAAGCCTCTCTTTATCCTTAAACCATGAATAAAATGTTATCTGTTAGGTTAAACCTACCTGCCTAGCAACACAAGGCAATGGGCCCAGATCCTACAATACCCGCGTATCCGCTCACAGAACATACTCATCACATGACTCCCCCTTCCTCTGGGCACACACATACAATGGCCACCAAATGCTAGCAGAGAGAGAACTGGAATCCTCATTTTATTCCTATATTGAAAAAAAAAGAAGGTCCCAAAGTATGTTAAGGCCTAAGATAGGTCACATGCAGTGGACAAACACCAGAGCTTAGCTCTCTATAAAGACAAATGCAATCTGCAAAACCCAACAAATAATAACATCCCATTGTTACCTGCAAAACGCTCTGCCAATCTTAACTGTAGGCATCACTCACATCTACCAGTTCAGTTCACAGCTGCTTTCTATCTCAGGAAGTCAGATTGATCATTAACCAGATCTCACGTTTATCCTCTCCAAAGTGTTGGAAGAAGCTGACCTTCCCACCAGTAATAAATTCTCTCCTCCTGCATTTTTCCTATGGGCTTTTCATTACTCCACAGCCCAAAGGGTCAAATGCAGCGCTCGCCTAAGTGGACGCAACTACCTTGAAGTCAATGAAGTTACTCTCAGGGCTGGATTTGATAAGCAGGGTTCATAGAACGCTGTGTCCAGCTGCCCCATGGTGTGGGAGCCTGTATTTTCTTTGAAGTGTGTTTGTTCTCTCAGGGTTCCTCAGATTCCTGAAAGCACTGACAAATGGTTGCAAAATGCCTCGTACTTAGCATTCCCTGCCACAGCATGCTGGCCCTCAGGCCCTATCCAGAGCCCTGAGGTCTCATTCTGTACCATCAGAGTTTGTTTTAAATGTGTTTAAAAATTAGATAGTTAACGGCTTCTGCAGAGACCGGGCTTCGGAGGCAAAACCGAACCCTCGAATTTGTCTTTACCAGAACGAGTGCTAAAATGCAATTGTGCGCTTGATTGAAAAATCCACTGTACAGTCATTTCCTCCCCAGCCAGAGTCACTCACGTCGCCTGGCACTTGCATGATAACATTTTAAACAAATCAAAGACAGTAGAATTGCCTTCTTATGCCTGTGTCTAGCTCCAGCTCCTCCGCGCTCAGCCGCGCACTCAGTGAGGCAATCTTCCCATGAGAGTGTTTGGGCCATTTATTTATAACTGCAAAATATTGACTGGTGGCCTCCGATTCTAAGGTTGGCAAACTAGGGACACCCTCTGCCCCTTGCCAGGGCGCAGGTATATCCTAGCCTGTCTTCGGTCGAGCAGCGTGCCGTGTGTAGACCCCTCCCTATCTCCTACGAGCACTAGGGCAGATGCTTTCCTCCTCTCCCTGGTATTCTCATTGCCCAGGGTCTAGTCCAGGGTCCCTGTCCTGTCTCTCCCCCGCCCTCTGTCAGTGGTGGGAGAGGCTCTGGACACTTTCTCGGGCCATTCCAAGACTGGGTGTGGTTTTACCAAGCGATAGGGCCAGTCCCAGCAGCCCTGCCTTGGCACCCCGCTGCTTAGCAGGGCAGAGGGGAGGCAAGCAGAGGCTCATCGAAAAGGTGCTGGTGGATAATTCATTTAGCTGAGACGTGGGAAGGCGTCTGCGTCCGGAGACACGGCCACCACCCAGGCTAGATTCAGCGACGGCGCTCAGGGCCCCTGTGCTCTCACGCTGGGGACTTCTGCTTCCAGCTGATCTTGCCCCTCTTGTGTTCTGTGTGGGAGGTAGCGGCTCCAGGGCAAAGCGCCGCGTCTCCTCGCCTGCTGCTGTCTCGGGGCGACGGAGCGCAGTGCGCGTCTCCGTGAAAAGCATCGCAGCCGGGAGGGATGGTGGGAGGCAGCGTGCCATGGCTCCCTGACTGTAGCTAGTATTACCTGCCACTCTCTGAAATGAGCCGGGCCTGGAAAGCGCAGCGAGCTGATTACTTTCTATAGGATTGGAACAGCGTGACTGTTCCGGGTGTGACTCCTCCGATACAGCTCTCCTGACCAAACACAAACACTCGATGCAGGCCTCATCTGTCATGCCCGTGATGTTTAATTAGGATGAAAGTCCCCTCTGTCTTACCACTCGGCTTCCACCTCGGCAAGACCCCAGAAGATAAGCTCTATGACATACACATGATAGAGTACAAATGGTGTCTGTCACATGATGTATAGAGCCATCTGTATGGCTCACTCGCTCTCTCGTTCACTTTCTTTCCTCTTTCTCTTTTCACATTCATTTACTCTGTGATCATGCGCTGAGCATGTGTCTGGCGATGTCCCATTTGTCTGGCTGTCAGTGCTGGTTAATACGGAGAGGGGATGTTCAGGCGAGTTTACCCCCAAAACACTCTCTCCTCGGGACGCAGTCAGAGGCGCTGGGTCAGTGGCATGTTCTGCACACTAGAGATGGGTTGAGTGGCTGAGTCATTCTCTCGCCATGACGGGGGAAGAGTGCCCTGCATTTCATTCATAGGCCAAGAATTCTTTGGTCCAGTCTGTTGGTCGTTTGGTTCCTACTGAAGATGCCACTCAAATGTTCCTAGCAAGTCCTTCCCCCCAAATACAAAGAAACTAAACAAAATCCACAGAACATAATCTGGAGGGGGCTTAGCAAAGCCTCTAGATGTCTCCTTTCTATTCCATTAGACCAGCTCCTGCCAGCCCAAAGCAAACCTTGGAGAGCTCAGAGTTTGGGTTGGGCTGGGCAAGCTCCCAGTGGGTATGTGAGCTCTCCAAACCTCATGGGTCTGCAGCACTGAACAGGCCAGGAAACCTTCTTGGAAAAGCGTCTATGCCAGCCAGAAGCTCCGCAGCAGCCTCTCGCGTGGAGCTGTCTTCACGGCAGTATAACCCGTGTGCGTGAGCGCGAGCGCCCCCGCTGTAAACTCCTGGCGGAGACGAAGCGCCGTGGCCTTTATTTGTGAGGCCAGTGGAGGGGATAGGCACAGTAAAACGCCAGCACCTTGCCTCCACTAGGGCCATACAGAGGAGGCTGTCTGGCTGTAAAAAGCCACCTCCTTTGGCAGCCTTGGAGTCCTAGCCAGAGCCTAGACATGTAAGAGGGATGTGAGAACTGGGTGAATTGCAGCAAGGGGGTGGTTCTATCTGAGCCAGGTTCAAAGGGACACTCAGATGCTGTGCCACAGGGTGTGCTCTGCAGTGATCACACAGATCACTCCCACATAGACACTTATTTAATTAAGCTGAACAGATTTAAAAGAGCTTTAATTCAACCAAATCTACAAACCTGTACCTGCAATTCCCCCAACCTGCCACTTGATGTCACCATTGCTCCACACAAATGCAACTCAACGAGCATTTATCTGGGAGGAAAAAAATGCCAAAGGGAATTCTTTCTCTTTGGTTAAAACATCTCTGATCATATACATGTGTTGGCTTTACACACACACACACACACCATGCTTGCATAGCTACACAAGCCTACTTATGTCTACAATCAGACACGCACACACTCTCTCACACCCGCACAGAGGAATGTGCAAACACCTTCCGAGGCATACACTCCTCCGGAAGTGCATTACCGCCTCTCACCATCGCCGCAGCGGTCCTTCCTCACTCAGGACTCCCCAGATCTGACGAGAGGACTGATCTCCGTGGGCATGTGCTCAGACTCTCTGCAGCATGCACTTGATGGCTGAGTTCAGCCTGGATTGGAGCCTCAGACATGAAATTGAACTCCTCAGCTCTCCTCTCACACCACCAAACTGCAACATGTGGCTCTTGGAGCCCTTTCACCTGCTCCATAAGCTATCGCTGCAGATTTTTCAAACCGGACATCTCTCCCTTCGCCGCCACCCCCACCCAAAGCAGCAGAATCAGAGATCATTTCACGAAGTCCGAATCCAGCTTCCCTGCAGCTGCGAGAGCACCAGGGGTGGCTCTCGGAGCTGGGCTAGATGGATAGCACAGTCTGAAGACTAGCGTTATAAATGAGTTACATAAATCTGGTGCTGTCCAATATGAAATTCAAAAAGAAACTCATTTGAAATGTGCTTATCATCTGAATGTTATTAATCCCGATCCACTCCCAGCACACAGCATCTTCAGTGCAAATATGTGTAGGAGAAATCCCGCTTGACCCAGCCTGGAAGGGCCTAAGCCACAGTGTAATCAACCCATCCTGCAGCAAGGGCTGCCTGTGAAACCCCCTGGAACGGTTCCCAAAACACACAAACCGTCTCCAGCAAGCACATTGCTGAAGGATGCTGTAATCTCCTATAGCTGCCCTCCCTAATCCCTGGGGAGGTTTCACTTTGCTCCTCCCCACAGCAAGTCCAGAACAACCACCCAATCTTCTGCCTGCACACAGATGTGATCCTTTAGGAAACTCTTAAAGTGTAACATTATCCCCCTGCTGTCAGCCTTGCATGGACTCTCGCTAAGGCCTGTTTAAAGGGACAGAAACAGAGGGTCTGGAGGTAGACAGCTCCCAGGCTTGGGTTGTCATTGCTCTCCGGGGAGCTGCCTCTAAAACAAACCTGCACTCAGGGAACGTCTATACTGCAATTAAAAACCCCTGGCACCGAGTCTCAGCGCCCGGCTCAGCCGACTAGAGCTCCTGGGCTGAGGCTGCAGGGAGATAAAATTGCAGTGAAAATATTTGGGCTCAGGCAGGAGCCTGGGCACTGAGACCCCATCCCCGGGCTCCAGCCCAAGCCCGAATGTCTGTATAGCCCCCCAGCCTGAGCTCCAGGAGTCTGAGACAGCTCACCCAGGCCAGCCGCAGCCGCGTGAGACCCCTGTGCGAGGGCCCCGATGCATGAAACCCACAGCGAGGGCTGATCCTGCCACTAATCAATGCCAGCAGTGTCCAGCCTCACAAACTACAGATCAATCCCACAAATGGCACCTTATGACAAATAACAGGTAAGTGCCCTTTGTGTGTCGGGGGGGGGGCGGTCGCCCCTTTCCTTAGCGTTAGTTAAGGCTAAGATTAAAATACGCTGGCTGTGCTCATGCCTGTTCAATACATTTTATATACGTTTAATAAAAAAATGGCTAAGATCGTTGGAAGGGTAAATAACTGCCATGCTGACATTGCTTCTATTTAAATCAACTACACACTGCGTGCGTACATCGTTTGCATAAAACAATATTCAAGTAGGGTGATTTTAATGTTCTGTGCTATTTCTGACTCTCTCTGGATTGCTGTTTGCATATATTTGCATACCCTAGGAGAATTAAACTAGGAGTATGTAAATGAGCTAGCAGGCTCTGTGGTGAAGGAGTTTCTTCCAGTTCCACAAAGCAGCTTTCTCTCGCTTCCCCTGCTGACAGGCTGCCTCGGTGCTCCAGCAGGTCAGTGGCTGCATGAGAGCAACCCTGCAGACAATCGATCCATTGTTGGAAAGGCTTACCCAGCACACGGACGCAGGCCCCGAACGGGAGGAGGAAGGCGCTGTCTGCCGTGCAGCTCGCTGTGTGTTAATAGCAGCGGCATTGTGGGATAATCACCTTCTGATTTCCCTCCATGCACGAATGTAACAGTCCCTGTTCCCTCCTGATCCCCGTGCTACTGAGGCCTCTGTTTGGGTGGCCCCAGAAGGCCTTGCCCCCCGAGCATGGGGTCCTCCCTTGGTCCTTCCCCCAGAGGGGCAGGCAGATGGTTGAGTCCCTTGGCCCACGAGCATACGGCAAGCAGCCAACCTGTGGGGGTGGGGAGCTCTGGCTCTGCAGACCACACCCGTCGGAGTGAGAACTCTCCAGGGAGTGCTCAGGCACCTCTGCATGGCCTGGCTGCTGCTGGGAGCGGAAGGCCACGATGCCACCGAACGCCGGGCAGCTGCTCACTTGGGGAGCGTGGGTAGCAGGGCTGGATTGCAGTGAACTGTGGCCAAACGCCCACAGCCCTGACTGGTGAACCAGCTTCAATTCTCCCACCACTGCTTGCTCCGCAGACGCCTGTTGCAGCCCATTGCCACTGCAAAACGTGCTATGTGCCGGGGCTCCCGCTCGGCAGGGCTGAGTGTATGGCAGGAGTCACATGGCCAGTGGCTACAGGGATGTCAAAGCACACAAGGGCTAGTGGGATTGTACCAGGTTTGCATTGCTCAAGAGAGAAGGATGGCGCAACCCATCTTCTGGGCAGGGTCGATTCCCTCAGAGGAAGTAAGAAGAGCTCTTAGGCCATATAATAACCAGGGGGAAAGCCGGTGTGTATGTTGTCCATACTGTACCTTTCCACTATGGGTGGTTTTCATCCTTAAGAATGAAACCCATGACCTCCATTCTAACTTACAGGTCATTGCTTTATATGATAGGAGCATCCTTCTAGTCATGGAAACCTGCCTATTAATGTAGCCCAGGCCATACGCAGAACCACGCCTAGGTCAGTGTTCTCTCAGGTGGGAGGCACCAGGCAATTCAGAATGAGGAGAGGAGCAGTGGGGGGCGTTGGGGGCAAGAGCCTGAGCCGTGGTTTTGCCCTCAAGCAGCACCTCCGCAGGCTCTGGGAGATGGAGCGGCTGTTTCGTTGCTGTGGTTGTTTCCATGATGCAAAACACCCTCTTCGTTTTCTCCGTGGCCATCCTGCGGTGGGGCCTTCTCGGGTGCTGCCAACACCTGCCTGTCGCCTGAGAGGCCGCTGCCTGGGGCACCCGTTCTGGTGGGTCTCAGTGCCGCTTTGGGGCCCTGCTCTTGCTGTAGTGGAGGGTAGACAATGGAGGGGAGGAAGCAGCGTTTCCAGGGTTCCTTCTCTCTCCTGGGAACACACAGGAGGCAATATCTGTCTCACTTCAGCCTATCATAACCGTGCAGAGAACTGCTGACTTGACACGGGTGTGTGTGCGCGTGCACACGTGTGTGCAAAAGATGTGCACTCAATCAGTGCAAGGTACTCACCCGTGAGCAGTTGGGCTCCAGTCTGTCCGTACTTGCATTTCTGGGAGTGCAGAATGTCTGGGCGTAACTGAGTCGTGGCAGCATCAATGGATTATGCACAGCCTGCAGTGAACGTCAGCTGGGTGTCTCACGTTACAGCTTGCCCACTGCTGCATGCAGCATCCTTCCCCTGCCAGCCCTCTGGGGAGGGGGGGTTAGGTGTCACACACTCCCACCCCAGTGGAAAGCAGTCGGGTGCACCGGGGGAAGGTGCAGAACCTCCTGGAGGCAGCAGGTTGTGCTCTGCTGATGGGGACAGATAGGGCCTGACTCTAGCATGTGGCCTTCTGCAGGCCTCTCCTGAGCTCATCAGAGACCCATGTTGGCTTCAAAGCTGAGCCGGCGTCCCTGTGCCCTGGTGCGGCCCAGAGGGCCTGGAGCTTGCCGGGAGATGCTGTGCACCCACAACCCACAGACAAGCAGAGGTGGATTCCCCTAGGGCAGCTCTTTGCCCAGCTCTAGTGACCGGTGAGCACCGGGGCAGCATGAAGACCCCTTCGAGGGCTGGGATAGTGGGAGGCCCAGGACACACAGCAGATACCAGAATCCCTGCTGCTCACAGCTCCACCATGTCTTCCCGTGGGGACCGTCCGTGGCTGGCGCCGGTGCCAGGGAACGCTGGAGTTAGCGCTGCATGGGCTGGTCTAAGGGTCCCTTCAATAATTAAACAAGCGTTGGCTTGTCAAGCTGGGCGAGCATCTCCTCGGAGTGAGTGACAACAACGTTCCATCGTGGAAGGACGGATCCTGGCACATGCACCCTGCCCAGCACTGGAAAGTTAAAGAGGATTTTCCTGCAAACCAAAGAAGACACTGGTCCCTCCTGCAGGAAGAACCTGAACTGGCTGAAAAGGTCGAAGGGTTCGACCCAGAATGGAGGTGATTGTTTAAGGTCACCAGCAGTCTGAGCTTGTCAATACGTGAATCATGCACAAGCCATTGGAGCTCAAGGGACATGGTCGGGTTTTCTCTCCGCTGACAGGATTACCTAGCAGTAAATAAAAGTAATGGTGTGCACAAGTGGGTAACTCAGGGCCAATTTGTACTATCTACCTACCCTGAGCAAGTCCTACCGGTCCAAAGCCCCTGACACACCCGTGCTCAGAATCTACGTGGCTACTCCAGTGCAAATTACCCTCATGCAGACAGAGCCTCAATGCCTCTCCTCAGCTACTCAACGCGGTTCATTTTAATAACCCATTTGCATAATGTACAGGTCGTTAACCAGAGAGCCAAAGCTCGGCGTGCACTAGAGCCCTGTGAACAGATTCTCCCGGCCTGCTGAAAAATCGTGTTTACACCACCATGCTGTGGCTTTGTTCAGCATCTTCAGTGCAACAGGGGAACTTTTCACCCAGCTGAAAAATGGACGTGAGGTCCCTGCCTGAGGTCACAGAAAACTAGGATAAAATCTACCCTCCCCCTCTGCCACGTGTGTGTGCACATGCTCCATGCGCGTGCCTGGGATAGCAGCAGCTCGGGGTGTGATACCCAGAATTCACGGAGGTTCACTAGCTGCTGGGAGATATCGATCAACTCTTTCTCAAGCAAACCAATGTCTGGAATGCATCCCGGGCAAGGGCTCAAGCGGAGACGTGAAGGTCTGGCAGTGGGGTGAGACTCCTCTGAGGGGGATGCTAGCACTGAATTCATTCATCTACTATCACTCATGGGGACTACAACAAAATGTACCATTAGCTAAACTCTTCTGTCGGAGTCTAGGCTTACTTGGTCCTGCCTCTGGGCAGGGGCCTGGACTAGATGACCTCTCAAGGGCCCTTCCGGCCCACACGTCTATGATTGGAATGCATTGGAGACAACCTTTTCTTACGGGAGGTGGAGAAAGTGGCTGGAGAGAGGCGGTTCTAGATCTGACTCTAACAAACAGGGAGGAACTAGTTGAGAATCTGAAGGGGCAAGGCAGTTCATGCAGTGTAAGGAATGGTAGAAGGGAAAACAGCAGAATAAAGACAATGTGCTTTCAAGAAGACAGAGCTTAGGAAACTTGGAGAACTAGTATGTAAGTTTAAGGGGAAAAGAGCATTGACAGTTTTTCAAAGAAACATTATTAAGGGCACAAGAGCAAACTATCCCAATGCCTAGGAAAGATAGGGAGTATGGCAAGAGACCACCCTGACTTAACTAGGAGATCTTCAATGACCTGAAACTCAAAAAGAGTCCTAGGTTAAATTATGAAGGATGAATATAAAAAACAACAACACAAGCATGTAGGAACAAAACAAGGTTAAACTAGCTAGAGATATAAAGGGTAACAAGAAAGCATTTTACAAATACCTGAGAAGCAAGAGGAAAACCAGGGACAGGGTAGACCCATTAGTAAATAAGAAAGGAAAAACAATAACAGAAAACACAGCAATGGCTGAAGTGTTAAATGCCTTTTTTTTGTTTCAGTTTTCAGTGATTGTCAGACTGGCATCGTGAACATCAGAGCAAACAGGGTAGGGTCTGCAACTAAAATAGGAAAAGGACAAGTTAAAAATGACTTAGATGAGTTAGCTGTCTTCACGTCAGCAGGGCCTGATGAAATACATCCTAGAATATCAGAGAGCTCTTCCTTAAGCCATTTGAGATTACATCTGGGAACTCGCCAGGGACAGGAGAGACACCGGAGGACTGGAAAAGGGCAATTATAGAACCTATTGATAAAAAGGGGAATAAGGACAACCTAGGGAATTATAGACCGGTCAGCTTAACTTCGGTACCCAGAAAGATAATGGGCCAAATAATCAATTTGTTAAGCA